CACTAACCTCACCCCCAAACACCAACTAGACCGCTGCAACACACATACATACATACACACAGGAGCTGGATACCAATGATGATGGCGAGGTGGCGTACCGGGAGTTCCTGCTCGCCTACCTGCGGCACCGGGGAGGGGACTTCCTAGGGCCCAGACTGCTGGCTCCGGAACCACTCACCGCCGACCCCGCGACCTCTCCCTCCACTCAGCAGCGACCTGGCAGTAGCAGGGGGCCCCCGGCAGCTGCGGCTGCTGCCGGGCTGCCGGATGGGGGGGGTGAGGATGAGGACGGCGCTGTAGGTGATCCGGCGGCGGGTGGCAGTGGCAGTACGGCCGCAGTAGCTACGGGCCCCAGTCTACCCCTACCTCAACCAGCAGTAGCAGCAGCAGGGGGGGTTGCGACTGGAGGGGGCTGGCAGCGAGCCAACCGGGCGGTGGCTCAGGGGCAGCTGTCCCAGGCGTTCTGGGACCAGGCGTACGCTCTCAGGAAACTCAGGTGAGGGCGTGTGGGGGGGTGGAGGTGCCTGAAGTGGGAGGGGTAGAGGATGGGGAAGGGGGGGGGCGGGAGCTGATGGGGACAGTATAATCAGATGGAACGACCTCCGGGGTGCGAAGGGGGGGGTGGCGAGGCTTGTCCTACTTCTTGTTGGAGGAAGGGGAAGGGAAATAAATCAGTGCGGAATTGATCCGGTTCAAAAACGGTAAAACCTAAAACCGTACTAACGGCCCCGGCGGTTCTCTATCCTCACAGGAATCGAGACGGGGAGGCGGCGGCAGCAGCACGACAGGTACGGCATTGTACGGTGCGACATGACGTGGCATTGTACGGTGCGACATGACGTGGCATTGTACGGTGCGACATGACGTGGCATTGTACGGTGCGACATGACGTGGCATTGTACGGTGCGACATGACGTGGCATTGTACGGTGCGACATGACGTGGCATTGTACGGTGCGACATGACGTGGCATTGTACGGTGCGACATGACGTGGCATTGTACGGTGCGACATGACGTGGCGTGATACCAGATTTTCCGTAGTGTTGTTTGTCCTCGTTTCTCTCGTCCTCCCCCCTCTCCCCCCACCCCTCATGCCCCCTGCGGCCAGTGCTCAGCCGTAACAACTAACCCCCGCACCGACTGATGGACTTAGGGTTCATCAATTTGGGAGAGGGGGGTTAACCGAATGGGCAGTTGGTTAGACGGTAAAACCCCAAACTCCCGTACACACATATGTCCCCACCTCCCAACATTGGCATTGCAGGGTGCAAGTGTGAAGGCTGAGAGGGCGGCAGCCGCAGCGGCAGGCCCGCCCACCGGTGGCGGCGTGAAGGCGGGCAAGGGGCCCGGGGGAGGCAGTGCGGCGGGTATAGCAGCTGTACGACAGCTGGGTGCCAGGGCGTTAGGTGCCCTGGGAGGTGAGAGCTATGCCGCACGGCGCTGCGCGGCTGAGTTGCCGAAGGGGGGAAAACGGGGGGGGGAGATGTACGACAATAAAATAATCACTCACTCAGACGTGTGTGTCTGTGTGTGCACATGTCCCAAATGGAGAGGCGAGTACGGAAATGATCAAGTACGGAAAGTCTTTATCGGGTTTTCTTGGGGGATTATTAGTCCCGTTTACCCGTCCCTCCTCTCCCTGCCGCCTCCATGTGGTCTCGAACTGCCCCCTCATTGCATAAGGCCCTCGTGCACCCGTGACCCCCCGCTCACCCGCCCCTGCCCCCTAGGTGTGTTGGGTTTCGGAGCCACCGGCTCCGCCCTCCCCCTCGTGGCACTGGCCGGGCTGGACAACATCGCACAGGAGGAGCTCAGCGAGGTGCAGAGGTGTGCGTGGATCGTGTACGGCAACCTGCGTACGGCAGCCAGGTAAGGACGGGAGGTGCATGCATGGACAGGAGCATAAACGCCGGTGGGGGTCGCCTCCTCCACTCCCCTTCAGATTCCTTCCACCGCCCCTTGAACCACCTTTCTCTGCACCACCCTCCCTCCTGCCCCATGCGTCCCCCTTTCCCAACTCCCTAATCTATATCATTGCCGTACACCGCTCCTCCTGCCCGTCCGCCCAGGTACCTTCAGGACGCGCAGGCCGACGGCTACGTGGCCGCCAGCGGCAAGGTGGGGGGAGCACCGGGACTGACTTCCTGGCAGGCGGCGGAGCGCACCGCCCTGGAGTCCGTCATGCGGGGGCTCACGGAGCCGGGGGCGCTGTTCGGGGGGCAGCAGCAGCAGCAGCAGGGGGGGGGAGGCTACTACGGCAACAGCTACCAGCAAGACCGGGAGGGGGAGAGTCCGGCGGCGGCGGCGGCGGCCGCTTTTGGCCCCCACGGCCCCCGTTCCTGGCTGCAGGCGCTTTCCGGGGTGGTTCACACGGGGTCCGCCAAGGGGGGTGGGGGGGGAGGGGGCCTGCTGGACAGCTCGCCAGGCGGTGGTGGAAGGTGGGTCGGCAGGGATACTTCGCAATGGTTGGACAGTTAGTAGTTAGCGGTTGAAGTTGGAGTTGAGCACACGCACCTCTCTATCGTTGGACGACTTCCTTCACGTCCTCCTCTGGGAGGAAAAATAAAAGAATTTGGATGAAAATGAATGGATGAATGTGAAAATCTTAAAACCCATCTCCCGCCCTCCCGCGCAACATCTCGGGCACCTCACCTCCGGCGTACCCCTCATAAATCCAGATCTCATATTCGCGACACCACCCTCCTGGAGCTGCTGGTCGACCTGTCCTCCAGCAACCGGTGTGCGGCCCACGGGGAGGTGCTGTGCGAGGGGGATGAGAAGCTGGTGGGCCCTATGGTGGGTCCCTCGCCCTTGCTGAGGGGCCGGAGCCTGGCGGATGTTGTGACGCAGCTGGGGGCTGACTGTGCTGAGGAGGTGGCCACCGCGGTGGGGGCGCTGGCGCTGGACATTGCCAGCGAGGGGGCTGCGCGGGCGGGTGTGGCCCCCCCCGTGGGGGGTCTGGATGAGGTGTTTTGTGCGGGTGCACTGCGACTTGCTGCGGAGGAGGTGTGGGCGTTTGTGATGGACATGCAGGTACGGCAGTGTGAGTGAGCGGGGGGAGTGGGGGGAGTGGGGGAATGGGTGGGGGGGAACGAGGGGGGCAGAAAGGGGGGAGTGGGGGGTTTAGGAGATGTGGAGAATCTATGTGTGTGTTGGGAGTTGTCCGTTGATGTTAGTTGTGTCGTACATACACATGTGCCGTCATAACATGCAAGCCCGAACTCCCCCAAACCTGGACTGTAGTTTCCATTACTGGCTCTGTTCCGTTATCATGTCTCCCCCCTCCCCCCCCATCAGGCCCTGGTGGACCAGGTCATCTCCCCGCTGGTGGCGGCTGTTGATCAGAGTGTCCCCATCATTCAGAGGGAGTCCATTAAGACCATTTTCGGGGACACCAACATTGAGATCATCCTGGGTGAGGACATACATATGTACATACATACATAAACATGCATATGTACATATGCATGACTTCAATGATGTATATGCGTATGATTTGAAACAAGGTACGAAAAGCAGCATGTGGTGCGCAGGAATCCTGCTCCCGGTTCGCTCCCCCCCCCTCCACCTAACACTAGTCCCTTCAGAGTACTCAACCCTACATGTTGATGTTGTTACACACGTCCCCCCACCCCTTCAGAGTACGAGATTGAGCTGCTCAAGCTGCTCACACGCAGCTGGCGGGCGGGGGCCCGTACGGCAATGGTGGTGCCCTCGGTGGCGGGAGCCGCCCACTACATGATCGGTACGGCACAGAGGCGGCTGGCGGCGTCCCGACTGAGGGCGTTTGGAGGGGAGTTTCCGCCGTCGGCAGAGCAGGTGGGGACTGGGCGGTTTGTGTGTGTGTGGAGGGGGAAGGTCCCTTGGCCCCCTGAACCCGCACACTGCCCTCCTTTCTCCATGCGTCGGGAACCCCCCCCCGCCCACCCTCCTCCTGCTCGTTACACCCCCCCCC